CCCCCCCCCCCCCCCCCCCCCCCCCCCCGGTATTCCAGGATCTAAAAATATTTATACTGCTTTTCAAACCACGATTCTCTTTCAGCGGAGTCATACTCTATCATAAGTGCTTCATTCATATCGAACACAGTAGCCCCTTCACACCAACGACTGGGAGAACCGAAGCCAAGTTTTTAAAATTACAGTTGTATTAGTCCATTTGCATCTCACCACCTTTTTCTAAATAACCAAATGTTCCACTGCTTCCTTCACCACTGCACTACAAATTCCCAGGAACAAACAAGGAAATTCCCAGGTCATTCTTGTGCCACTGATCACCCGGGGTGGGGGGGTGGTATCTAGTTTGAGAAGCAGAACTCTGAACATGGGATTTCTCATACTTGTTCCTATGTGGAGCTGCCAAGGAAGGAACTAAGACTGGGGGAAGCTCAATTCAAGAACAAGTGCACAACGCTTACCAGGTACTGCAACAAAAAACTTAACGGCATCACGGTGCCCATGGAAGCAAAGCTGTGCATGTGCCATGGAACAATATGGTATGAATGTCCCAGGAGTCACTTTGTCACTGTTTTCATCACCGTATACACGTATCACACTCCCAGGACGGTTTCCAGAACCTGATGTGGTTTTATTAGCTGTAAGAGAAGAAAGAACAAAAGTATTTTCTACTTGAAGATGCAGGCTGCAGGAGTGGTTATTTGTTAGGAAACCTTATGGTACCATCTAAAAGCTAAAGCCAACTCAGATAAAATGAAACAGAAGGGCAGCAATGCCAATTCAAGACAGAGCTGGAAAGAAAAATAAAAAGACTGCATGCTTAGTTATTTGGAGTACATCAGAAGATGGAGGAGGATTCTTATTAGTCTAGCATAACTGCCAAGATTTACTTTTCTAAAAAGTACTTTCAATTGACAAACAAATTAAATACCACTTAGTGACATCTCAATGAACCAAATCCTGAAAGAATCCATGGGGGTAATTCCAATTAAACGTTATAAAAGTTTTCTTTAGCAACTGTGATCTTAGGGCATCTCAAGCTGACAAAACCCCACTAAAACCAGCCAGATTGGGCACAAAGGAGCTATCCAATCATAATTCCGCATCTAGTATTTCCTGAGATGTTTTAAAACTCCATTAAGAGAAAAAGTGCTTCAAACTCATGCTAGACACACAAGCCATCTCCATTCCAAAGACTATCAGAGCAGTGAAAGAAATGGTGATTTGTAACAAGAGAGTAAATGATGTGGATTAATGACAAAGTTATGAGGTAGGATATCAACACATTGTCTGGAAGAAAAAAAGTCTGTATGAAAGGTCAGCTGCAACACAGGATGATACACTAAACTGCTGAGCAGATTGGTGGCCATTTAGCAAACATAAAACTGCTGCAATGCAGTAACTGCAAGTGGAAAAACATTTAGGAACATACAAAGGGTAAAACTATAGGAGTGGGAAACAGCCTCAAAGTGGCTATTAGAAGCCTGAGAATAGATTTTTGTTCAGGATCTGCACTTACCCCTCAGCCCCAGTAAACGTCCCTGGTGGAGGATTACAGCTAAAGTGAGAAAGGAGGAAAGGGGAAATAGATAGGTATGACAGTAGAGAAGGATTAATGAGAACCCACCACTCTCATATTTTGATATTTGATAAGACTGAGCTTTCAAGTTTAGCTCCTAACTAATTACAGAAGATTCCAACGTAATAAAGAGCAGCAACTTGTTATAAAGGTTTCAGTATAAATGGATAAAACAGCTGTGCCGCTTTCACTGCGATTCTTTTCTTTGTCACTCTACAGTTAAATGGGATCAAAGTTTCCCCTTTCTCTCTTTCCATAAAGGGACACCATCAAAACTGAGAGGCAAAACAATGTTTTAAAGTGTCCTCATGATCCTAAGTCCACCTGCTCTAGAAAGTGATAGCACACTCTAGTGAAGATGCTCAGTTGGTCAATCTGCCAACAGACCAGGGCAGCAATTCTTCACACCTGAGCATGCACACCAGTTACGCTGTCCTTGTAATCGTGAACTTTTGCAGTGGTACTGACATTTACTGGACCTTGGCCTACTCACAAGTACCAAGGAAGAAGACAAGAAGGTAACGGTGCCCATGAACAAGAACATTAAGAGAGCTAAAATTAAGCCTCCCAGTTTTGACAGGGCCCCTTTCCTTCATGTTCACAATATTCAAAAAGGATCAACTCCACTGAAGTCTAAAAAATTTGATTTTGTTGCAAGCCAAAAGCAACTCTACTTTTTGGAATGCGATTTAGCTATGTGAAGCCCACGACCACAGGAAGCTTGTTTTTCAACCTACACCCCTGTTTTTCCCCAGTACATTTGTGCAATGCAAAAAAACAAACACTTATTTAATGGATGATCAATGTAATGGGACAGTGAGAGAAACAATGCATGTGCTGTTCAACAAAGCAGTTACAACACGACAATTTTTGCTGACATATAGAAGCTTCTCTCTCGAGATTGTTGCAATACTACGTTTTAACACCACAACTAAATACTAGCAGTTGTCATCTTTACTTTTCTAAAGGCTCTATTTTGGTGTTTTCTGTAAGAAAAAAAACCCCCTGATACTGGCTACAGGCCTAAAATCTTAGCTACTGCATGGTCTCTGTCAAAACTTTAGATGGGGAACTTAGGTTTTTAAGACTGAAAGGGAGTCATTCATAGTACTTAAGACTCGTTTGGTGCTTGAATGGACAGGGATGGGTTTCTTCCCAGTTCAACTGTCCTTTATAATTGACATTGGCTCTTCCTAGAAAGCGCTTATTTTATTTTTAAATACCTACCGTATATGACAAGAATTCAAATCAGCAGCAGATGCATGTTTTTTTCCTAGCACAGACAGACACCCTCAATGTCCAGTGCTTGGGCTTTACTTAGAAGCTAAATCACTCCATTTGAAAAATGTGGTTACAGCTGCTACGTCTTGTCAACCTTTTTTAAAAGCAGCTCAACAACGCTACTTCTCACATTGGTCACATCTAGGGAAAGAGGCGCTACCAACTGTGCAAGGGATTCTGGAGACACCCAGGTTGTTTTTGCTGGAGTTGCTACAGCACTTACTTGACCACAGCAATTTTTAAGCATGAATTCAGTGCTTGTGTGAAGTGCCTTGTCATGACTGGAGAACAAATCCCTTCATTTATTTATGGACAATGGCACCACCACCACCATCCCTGCTCCTTTGAAGGGTTCAAAGTCTCCATGTCCAGTTAGTCCACAGCTTCTCTGCTCAGAGTCCAGATATAAGTGCCTTTTGTCATGGAGTGTTTTGTACAGACAGCTGTCTGCCAGGAAATAAGATCCTACATTTAAGGAAAGCTAAGTGTCCCTTGGATACTAACCTGAGGCAGATTCAGCCCCGAGGTGAAATTCTCCACATCGATACCAAATTATCAAATGTTATCTCCTATTTTACTCTTACAACTACAGTGTAGCTGCCTAGTGCTTTTGAAAATACAGGGAGGGCCATTCATTTACATTTTACTTACTTTCTGTTAATGGAATGGAGATGATGACACCATTTCCTGTCCCCACCCATAAACGATTACAAGACACCATAAGAGCTGTGATTCTCACAAAGGAGAACCCCAGTTTTCCAGTACCTAAAAACAAGCAAATGTTTTCATTAAAGGTGTTAAGCAGCAATCATCATTGTACATTTACAGAGCTGAGTGTACCTTATAATGTCTATACCTGTGCAAGGTAGCAAATATCTTGTCCAGAACAGAAGCACACAAATAAAGCTTCCAGTATCATGCTGAATTTGGAAAGAGATCTCACAAAGCCAAATTCACTCTTCCCAGATTTATGTTCTTGGATTGGTAAGGAATAAAAAAAAGCTTGGTACCGGTGGATAGATATATCTGAAAAGGTGTTACAATTTCTTTCTATTGCACATTACAGGAAAATACTTTGGAGCTTATAATGTAGGAGGCAACGATTTAAATAATTAAATCTTAAAGCTGTTATAACTGTGGCTATGTGGAAAAACATGATGGCAAACATCAGATACTTGGTTTCACAGTAATAAAATATCTCTAGTCTGCTCTCGATCGGAACCCCTACAGTTTCCTTCTACATACGCAGGTTGAAAAACAGGCTTAAGTCCACTAAGAGCTGAACTGGAACAAGAAAAATTCAGTGGCCCCACCCCTGCCATCTTCCTAAATAGTTCTGAATGCCTAGAAGATATCTACAGTTAAGAGCAGAAGACTGAACCAAAAAGATTACTAGTTTTTGACAACATTGTTATAGGGGCTGTTTGATTTGTGACTATGGAATCAGGTGTGTTTGGGGAGTCCAGTCCAAATCAGGTAAGTTTTGGTGACTTTTCATTCCCTTCGTTGGCTAATAGGACCTTTTGCTCCATGACAGGTAAAGATAAAAGCAAACGGGCAATAGGTAGGAAGTGTTATTATACTCAGTAACTCACCTAGCATTTTGCTTACATAGGGTTCAATGTCCACATCCTGCAGATGCTGATACGTGTGTGCATGATAGAGCCGGAGCGTGGAATCCAAGCGAATTGATACCCATACCCCATCACCCACCCATGCCAGCTGTCTCACTTGGCTCTCTTTCCTTGGATGTGCATCAAACGATTTCTAGGGAAGATATTTAGAATGAAATTTGTAGTGGCAAAGGCAAGAGCTTTCATTCTCAGTCACTTTAGATACTACAGATAAAATGTTTTAAGCAAAAATTTGGTCAAGATTCTTAAAAACAGTCCTAGCAATTGTAGGTGCCGAACAAAGCCTTAAAGATTTTCCCCACAAGAAGCACTGAGCTCTAGAAAGTCAGGTCCTTTTAATGCGTCTCAAATATGATCACTAGTCTTTTGGGGGGATTTTGGCTGTTTTCTTTCTTTGTAGCATGCTATGTACAAGGACAATCTAGACCCAACAGCTTACACATCAGGGTAACTAACACTGAAGTCTCCTGTCAACAGAAGGAGAATGCCCTCTTAATAGTACATTAAAAACGAAAATAAAAAACCAACTCCTGGAAATAGGACCATGCAAAGCTGAATTGTATGAGGCAGCCAATGGATGGGAAGAGAATAAAGTCCAGTGCATCGAGAGCTCCCTCATACCATGATACATACAGTTAGCTATCAGACGCTATTCTCTGGTCCTGGTTAGGAAGGCAGTGGTACAAAACACAGGTTGATAAACAGAGATGGGACAAGTTTTACTGTCAAAGAAGATTTTAAAGCACAGTGAAGGGAAAGTATCCTTTCACTTGTACAGACATGCCCCCCAAAGGCATTAATTTGCTAAAAAATAGTCTGTTCCTATACATGAAAAAACAGCTTTCTGTCTTATGGATTTAAGGCAGTAAGTGGCTGTGTGCACATGCCACAAAGACAATGGCAACACTCAATTATTTCAACTGAAACACCAGTAAAACTTGCCTCTATTTTCATGGCCTTCGGTTGAACAACATAAATTTTGTTCCGGTAACCACACCAGACTTTGTCGTGTACCACAGTCATGCATCGGATAGAGTGATGAGGTCGACCCAAGTCTAGGAGGTGATAATTTGTCAAGTCCCACTGACCATCTTGAAAATAAGAAAAGGAACAATCCAGTGTTTAAATTAATCTGTGCACAACTGCTTTAACACACTGATACATTTCTTGTTTTAGAATAATCTTATTCATATTCCATTATGATATACACATTTTCAAGAAGTTATTTCAAATTCCAGTTGCTTTTTTCACTAAGTAACAAATGTGTGGATGATTAGTTTCTAAAGAACTAAGTGCTATTATTTTGTTCTTACAGCATCTGCAAGCACAGTGGCTCATTAACACCCAAACATTTAGAAATCCACCAGTAGATGCATACTGCTAAATGCATTCCTTAGACAGACATAAAGGTGCAATGAGCAATTATCTGTATGTAACACTGGACATCAACTGTTTTACTAAGCATGGAAAAAAATAGACCCGTGCGCTGAGGTTTCTTTCTACGCTTTCCTCATTAAGCCACAAAATCTTTAATTGCCACCTGCTAGGATTTCCAGTTACCATGGAAGAAGTTTGCCAAGGCTACACTTGGTAAATGAAACTGGCAATACAATTTGACACGGTACTTGAAACATTAAAACGCCTGTAAATGCTTGTTGTATAAAAAGTCAGTAAACACAGATAATAAGTGCATACATCTTTTTTTTTTTAAATAAAACATTTCATAATTGTACATTTACTAAGTTGTTACAAAGCACATCTGCACATCCACAGCTTCAAAATCTTATGCCAAGACACTTACCAACTCCTCTGTGAAATATTGCTAACGTTCCGTCAGCTAGTGCAACTAATACTATTCCTTTAACGTGTCTGGGAAGAGAGAGAAAATGAGGTAGATAGATACGTCACTAAGCTTATTCACAGTGAATGTAAAAGCATTCTAAAAACATGATGCATCTTACAGTAAATATACAATTTAGAGTTTAGCATAATTTGATCAATTTACATTCACACACTTTTTTTCAGAGTAGAGTTTATTAAATGGAAGGGCTGCCATGTAGAAATTGAAAAGAAAGCTGAGACGGCAACAACTACTACAAAGCCTGCAGGAAACGTCTCAAGGAAAATTCTAGTTTGTGTAACTTTTTCTTAATATTTGAACCTCAAAAATGAGCCTCGTAGCTGGTGCACATTACATCCTTCTTGCTCTTCTTGCTTCTCCCAGTGCTGACACTGCCACCCTCCTTCACCCCTGCCCATCATTTTCCCCAAGAGATTAATTTATGAATATTAGCATCCCAACACACACACACAGAGTAGAAATTGAATTAAACTACACAGTAATTATTCTTAGAAAGGTTCACTTTTAAAGATTGAGAAAAGACTCTTACAGATCAACTTACACAATACTGAGAATAGAATCTTTAAGTTTAATGGCATGAACACATTTCCTCCACTGGGCCACTGAAGAATGAACATACAAGCTGCAAGGACATAATTGGGATGAATTAAACAAGAATACTGCCAAAACCATGGTAATGTCTAATAAAAAGTATCAATTTCAGCCAGTGTAAAACTATAATTAAATCTATGGGGCAGGAAAGCAAGTTCCCGTCTCACACTGAGAACTACAGAACAGGTGATGGCTGAACTACATTGTCCAAGTAGCATGTTAGCCAGCTACCTAACGTATCATCTGAGCTGATAGCCAAATAGTTTGAAATTAAGACACTAAGTTTTTTTTTGTTTTTTAAAGTGATACATGGTTTTCAATGTATCTGAATCCCTAGACTGTACTATGGATCATTCAGTGTAGAACATCTTCCCACAGACAAGAGAGACAACTTTGTCTACCTTTGATTTTTCAAAATTAAAACACATTCACTAACAAAACTACAACAAGGCACCCAATACGTTAAAATGATGCCCTATGGGTATCTGTAGATGCAAGGGAGGTTGCACCAATTACAGCGTGTCGGAGCAGAATCGATTCATCAAATCAATTAATCGAGTCTGCTGGAATGTGCTAATCAGCGCGCTCTAGCAGCCTCCGCATCTTCTGCATCAGCATCTCCGTGCATCAAAACAGTGGTGAGAGCGCTTTAACTAAAGCTCGTTTGGCAAGCACAGCAATGCTGATACATGAGATGCTGCGGGCGCTTTAATTAGAGTCGAGAGCTGCTGTAATTAAAGTGCCCACCTTGCTACACATGTAAAAACACCCTACAGTGCTGAAACATAGCACAGAATGTGGAGGCTTTGCTATAGCTTACACCTCCAAATTTTCTCTTTCGAGGATTTCTCCCACTTTGTGCTTAACTCTTTGCGCCCTTTAAGTTGATAAACTGTCTCAAGAGGCAAGTTTACAGTGACTCCTCATCTTCCAACTTGAATAGCTACAAATCAGCATTGTCTTACCATCCATTCTGTGCTCCCAGCCACATTGTGGGTAAGAGGCTGCTCATTTTCTGTGCTTCCTCTCTCACCAAATCCTGTTCATTTGGCAACACTGCTACATCTTTATACAGGTCTGACTCACTACTGAGAAAAAAAACAAAGTAAAATGGCAAAAGCAGTCTGAACATATGCACAGAATACTCAAGAGTATAACCTGGGCAATCACTTCAAAGCTAGTCAACACTCAGTGATATAAAACAAAACAAAAGGAAAGCAAGACTTGTACTAAACGCACCAACTGTTCAGGTGAAGCCGACTCATTTCCAGGGTATAGACAGATGCATAGATTGTATTGATATCAAGTGATACTAAGATAAACTTTTATAGTATAATCAGCATATTCCTGTAGCAACACAGCAAAGTCATTGCAACTTCAACCCTGTTTCATTCAGGATTAAAGTTTTAACAATTTAGCCTTTCTGCCAGTGTGACACTTATAGCCTAACAGCTCCCCACCGCCTTTTAGAGTTACATTTGTCCATAGCCCCAACGGGCATTCCTTCATGTAAATGCTTACACGGGATTTATATTAAGGTTGCATTTACTGTTACCATTTCCTCATATACATACTGTGGCTTACAGTAAGAGATGCATCAGCTGAGAGGAACATTTGAAGGGGCTGAAGAATTCCAAGAGTTTTATATTTGATTAGATTAAACCAATGGGGAGTTCTTATGAACTACATTCATGCTTTTGTGCTAACTACAGTGAGCTGGGCTGAAAAAGCAGCAGCATATCTGAAGGGCCAATTGATCTGAGTAAAATTAGAGAAAGACTACTTCGCTTGGACAGAAGTGTGTGACCTTAACCAGGAGGGTCAAAGGGGGCAGGAGAGCATATAAGCCTCCGTGGCTCACTAAAAACATCCGGGAATGTCTCCTTGCCAAAAAGGAGGCTTACTCCCAATGGAAAGGAGGGGTCATCACTAAGGAGGACTATTCAGCAGTTGCTCGGGGATGTAGGGGGATGGTTAGGAAGGCCAAGGCAGAGATGGAACAGGGGCTGGCTTCCCGGATTAAGGACAACAAGAAGTCCTTTTTTAAGTACATAGGGAGAAGAAAGAAGGCCCCAGGAAATGTGGGGCCCTTGCAGGAC